GAGAGAGAGAGAGAGAGAGAGAGAGAGAGAGAGAGAGAGAGAGAGAGAGAGAGAGAGAGAGGCTTGTTTTTGTCCGGAAAGGGCTTGGAGCCAATGAACGGTACGATTGCCTGATGTTATTTACTGCCATTACTGCCATGGTATGTATGTAATACTTGAGAGGTTATATTGAAGTAACATGTGAGGTACTATGGTGTTAACTTTTGCTAACGGATGTTAACTTCAGGTGGAGTTTGCCTGCAAGGAGAGGGCGCACTTGCTGGGAGCAGTGTGGGAACACCATTTTCTATTGCTGGAATTACTCTACCAAATACAAAACCAAGAGGATGTTCAGCGAGTAGAGCGGGACATGGAGAAGCAGAAGAAAATCATGGAGGTAGATTCGTCAAAGTGGTTTTTAATTGTCTTTTTTTTTTTTCAAAAAAATTGAAAAGTTTTCAAAAAAATGCATTCTGATCTCCCTATGCCAGTTACTTCTGGCCCTTCAGGCTCGGTAGTAACACCCCCTCCGGCGATCGCAGGGTTTTATGGCATCCATATCAGTGATGTCCAACATGAGCGCTGGTGCTCGTCTATACGAATCTATAGAGCATTTCATTTTTAAGAAAGTTTTAACAAGATCAATATATTTTATTTACCAAATGAAAAAGAGAGTAATGGGTCTGGAATCTGTGGATACCTTTCACTCCACTGACCAAAATTAGGAAAATACTGACATAGGTTTGGTAGCTACGCTACTGATTGGGTGACCCGGGACCAGTGGGAACAGTTCCACCTGTCCAGATGGCCAACCAGGCAGATTGATCAGGGTAGGCCCAGGTAAGGTGCTCAGTGCTGGGCAGACCAAGTGCGGGATTTTGAAAAAGACTCGAAAACTGACAAAAAGTGAAAAGAATGGAAACCTTCAGAAGTCTGGAAAACGAATGTTGGGCAGATGTGCAAGTCAAACGTCACAACTTTTGGCTGATGCTCATGTGAAAATTGAAAATTCCTTATGAATTTCGTGATAAAAGATGCAAATAAATTAACTTTAATTAAGTCATACCCGTCTAAACCCTGGCTGTACCCCCCCACTCCCCCTCCCTCCCTCTCAGCAGGTAACCTATCATGGAATTGGAAGATAAGTCTGGATTCTGACTGCTCATGCCAAGTGCAGACTGAGAGCAGTCAGAGCTTCTCACGAGTTCTTTGCTTCTTGTTGGTTTTACCAGGCATGCCTGGTTCGGTTTCTGTACCAGCTTCCATGGATCGGGCATGGAAGGAATCAGACAGGCGATCTCGGACTCGGCCAAATGCCTTAAACCACCAGTACCTTTCCCCGCTTGAAAAACAAAACCCCGGTGGTTAACACGGTGAGGTCGCTGACCTCAACCCGTGGACACCCGGTAACTGGGACTCTTACAAAACAAAACAAAAAAACAAGGAAAAACTTCAAAAAAGAAAAGAAAAAAAACAAATTCAACATGAAAAAGAGAAAAAGGAAAAATGGAAGACGCACTCTCACACAGAGAGAGAGAGAGAGAGAGAGAGAGAGAGAGAGAGAGAGAGAGAGAGAGAGAGAGAGAGAGAGAGAGAG